TTTTAAATATGACTAAATTGTGACAAGTTTTATGATCGACTCGAGAAAATAGAAAAGATCAAAGATGAGAGGCAAACCATCCAAAGTCCAACACTGTAGGGGTTGAAATAGGGGCTGAGATGTCATTAAGTGCCTTAAGCTTTAGCAAACGAAAGTCAGACTTCATTTCATATGTATGGAAGTCTAAAACCACAAACCATTGATTTTAAGTACTGTTCCATTTCAGTTGGAAAATGCCATTATACCCTGGGCGGAAATGTAAGGTCGCAGGAAGGAAAAGGTACGATATCTCTATCATGCTAGGGGAACGAATGTTAAATAAAGTTTTTGATAAAACGGCATGCTTTATTAGGGGCCTGGGAACGATAGAAAATCTCTGCATCCTCTTGAAGATTCGAACCTCAAGAAACCAGTCCAAAGAGAGCGATCCTAGCTGGATGGAGAGTTTCGCGCGCTCCACTCGGTGCTTGTAACCTTTCGCGTCGTAAAGGAAAGGTGCACAAGCGATGCCCCATGCTTCGCTCTCACCCTTTAATACCTCGGCGTAATAGTAATCATATTTTTTGTTTTTGAGTAAAAGAGAATAGCTGATAAAAGTTATTAAGCCCGGAGGGTGCTACATTCATTTCGGTTGTCAACTATAACCACCATAGACCTATGTCTGTATTCAAGCAAGGACTATATTTTCGCTCTTTTTCCGGCTCTCTCAATAGACTATAAACTAGCGACTTTCTTGAGGACTCAAGCCTCACATCTGCCGATTTTGGTGTCAGATGCTCAATCAGCTGACCCACAAAGAACTCGTGGAGTTATTGTTCTTCTTTCACACTACCCTTTGTAGAATGTTTGCTTTTTGTAGTTTGTTATGAAAAGGTTATATAGATGCAGTTATCGTTTTATAGGAAACAAACGCCGGGTCTACGGAGGTCAGCGATCTAGTGGACCAATAAGCGGGGCTCTACAAGCAAAGGAAGATGGCTGCCTGACTGTTCAGGTAAGAGTTGAGGAGTTGAATCCGAAATAATGAAAATGCGTGAAGTATGTAAGCTATCCAAGTAAGAAAATAAGATTTTCTCTGAAGCTGCAATGAGAGAAACTCTAAATTATAAACAAATCTTAAGGGTTTTGACTTTTAGAAGACCGCTAAAAAAAATCGACGGAAAAATCCAAGTCATCAAACATGGCCTCGGAAGAACACAGACATGAAAAAAAACGAATAAAAACCGTTTGAACTTTGATTATACGCAAAATAGAACCGTTGAATGGAATTATTCTACGTTGATCAAATGAACCTTTTCTTAAATTGTCACTGTGTTGCATGTACAAGAGATTTTTGTACAACTTCCGTGATAGCTTATTTCCCCACTCTCTATATTTCCTGTTTTTGTTTTCATGAACTTTTCTTTTTCAGCTTTGAGGAACCTGTCTTGATCAGTAGCTTTTTCCCTTAGCGGGCAAGTCGGAACCGATGAAGCAAATCGTGCCATATCGAATTCAAAGGAAGGAAGCACTCTAAGAGTTGTGCTGTCAATCGTGTGGTTGTAAACAAAAAACCATCAATTCATCATGTGTTTATCAACAATGAAGCAGTTCAAAAGTTGTGGTGTCTGTGTCATGTATTTGTCAAAAAAGAACAGTATACATCATATGTTTGTCACCAAGGAAGCAGTTTCAAAGTTTTGGTGTTTATGCATCATCTGTTTGTCAACAAGGAAGCAGTTTCAAAGTTGTGGTGTCTGCATAATGTATTTGTCAACAAGAGGGCAGTTTACAAGTTGTGGTGTCTGCGTGACGTGTTTGTCAACAAGAGGGCAGTTTACAAGTTGTGGAGTTAATACATCATGTTTTTATCGACAAGGAAGCAGTTTAAAAGATCTGGTGTCAATGCATCATGTGTTTGTCAACAAGGAAGCAGTTTACAAGTTTTGGTGTTTATGCATCATCCGTTTGTCACCAAGGAAGCAGTTCAAAAGTTGTGGTGTTTGCATAATGTGTTTGTCAACAAGGAAACTTGAAAGGTTGTGGTGTTAATGCATCATGTGTTTGTGAACAAGGAAATAGTTTAAAAGTTGTGGTGTCAATGCATCGTGTGTTTATCAACGTGGAAACAGTTTAAAAGTTGTGGTGTCTATGCATCTTGTGTGTATCTTCAAGGAAGCAGTTTAAAAGTTGTGGTGTCTATGCATCTTGTGTGCATCTTCAAGGAAGCAAGGTCAACCGTTGAGGCGTCTATGCATGATGTGCAGTGTGTTTATAAATGTATCATAATCAAGTGTTCATCAAAAAGTTAAATGATACGTGATAAAATATTTAAGTATCCTCGACAAAATAAAGATGAATAAATCAATAACTGTTCAAATAAAAATGTGAACAACTAAAATGAATAAAAACCACACAAGCAAAACATATATACTCAGCCCTTACCCATCCCTTAAAGACATCCTTGTTTGTGCCTTTTTTAAATTGACTCTTATCGACCTTACATTTGTTTTTAGTCATATTCCTTAAATCCTTGGATGTTTAAGGGGGCAACGGTAATAATTATAATTGGTTTTGTTTTCGGCTACAAATGTGTACTGTCACAGTATTTCCGGATTCTAGTTCCAGACTTCGGATTTCAGAAATTTCGATTTCGGAGTTCGGAGTTCTTTTTCGCTTTTCGACAGTTTTTCTATTTTCGACTTACGACTTCACGTTTTCCGACTTCGGACTGTCGACCTTTATTTTCTACTTTCGGCCTCTAAGTTTCCTGTATACTTCTTCCTACTCCACGATATATGACTACTATGTTTCGAGACCTGATTTCCGTCCTCCAACTTCAACATTATCAATACTCGATCCTTTTTTTCCGTTTTCGACTCTAAAATTCCATTTTCAACTCTCTATTCGAAGATCTTCCTTCTTAAATCGGAAAGATAGGATTTGAGAGGGGATACTTTTTATCGCTTCTCACATGTGGCATCAAAATATGGTTCCTAGTAAAAGAGAGGTACAGCAGTGTACAAAATAATAGGGAAAGTACCTTCCAAGATTGCAAAGTTTATTTAGAGATCGAAAAAAATAAACAATGTATGATATACTAAGATAAATCGAGAGCAGCAGAAAGAAAAGTGAAATTTTTTCATAAACTGATAGACGATTTTCATGATTGTTTATTTTGGTGTTGTATCGGGTTTAAAAAGTTATGATTTACCAATAAACTTGGGTACTTGTCCGATTTTAGGAACTTCTAAAGAAGCGATTTTAAATTTCCTAGAAATTACAATTGTTAAGGAAACCATACAGTGCAACTTAAGGAACTTAATAAAGGTGGTGGTTTTAAAGCAAAATAAGGGTGACCGTTGATGACCGTTGATCCAGTTGAAAACATAGGAAATAAATCAATATGTGTGCTCTTGAATTGGGTGCTGAATTGTGTAACCGTCAGCTCAAACTGTCCTTTAAGGTCAATACATTCGGTGACGGTATCAGCAACATTTTTAATCGGCTTGTCCGTGTTTTTAGGATTTCTTGACAAACCATTACCTAAAGCTGGTGCCTACTACCATGGATTGAGTTGCTTTGGGAAAATAAAATTTGTTATACTCAAAGATTTTTGCAATTTTTAGAATATACCGCGAAAGAAAACTAACGCATTTTACTTTGATTCTTTATCTTTCTTTGTCTTTCTGCGGTGAGCCCTGTGTACATGGAGACACGAAATGTGCTCATACACTACATACTACAATAAAGTTGTCATTGACCACTGGGATATACATGATAACCTAACTATAAGGTTCAATCCCGTTCGCTGGTCTTAAAATGGTTTGATTTCATAACCAAATAATAGTCAAACACTTTCCAGTCGCGCATAACTTAATAAGAAAGTTATAACCTTTAAAAATAGAGTCGGAAAGGGGAGAGTTGAGAGTTGGAGTGAGTTTAATAACACACTCCAGGGAGGGGGAGTGTCTCTTTGAGAGAAGTTACTTTCTTGAGTTGATTGAAATTATTGTATTTTGCTTGATTATTGTCAGAGTTGACGGAGAAGAGAACCTTTAGCATGCATTTCAGTACCATTTTCAGGTTAAACGCTTTTGTTACATAGAATTATGTTGAAAACTCATGGTCTTGTACTTCATCCGCAAAGTTCACGTCTTCTTGCAGTTCTCCGAAAAAGAGTATGCGCTACTCATCAATTTTTTTTCTCATACCAAAGGAACCATACTTCTTTTCATCAAAATCCTGACCAGGCCGAACATTTTAACGCACTGTCACTGTGATTTTTAATTTTTTTTTTAATTATTTAAACCAACTCCACGCAACAAAAAGCTTTTGCTATCGAAGATCAACATTAGCGGTCATAAGGGAAGATTAGTCCATGTCAAGTTAACACTCCTACAATTATTGACGTCGAAGTCTTCTGAAAATTCCGTTTTCAACGCTCGTCGAAGTCTTCGATGTACATGCTATAACACTACTCCTAGTTGACGGTGGATGAAATCTGTCAACAGAAGAAGTTATTTGATTGTTTGGGTATGACTTTCCAGAGAATTGCATGTTTCACGATGGCTGGTTGCTTCCTTTTAAAATTCATTTATTAGTGATACCAATTATGAGCTGATAAAGGGATGACGAAAAAGCAAAATGGAAACGGGGCTTTGACAATTTCGCACGTTGTTTACTGATTTGCACGACTCCGTATTAGCGTCTGAGCCGCGCTAAGCTAATAAAATAATTTATCGTAGAAAACTAAAGAGAAATATATCTCGTACTCACAAAAAAAGCAATGATCGTCACAGTTTTATATATGAGGTTCTAAACTTTTTTAGATCAGAGTTTGCGGTTCGCAGAAACGATGCTCTAAAAAGGAGAATGGACTCGTGGACTGCCGGTAGCTCAGTTCCAGTCCTCTTTCGGTCGAGAGTCGATCATTGCCTTTCATTATGAAGTTGAACTTCACTTCAAGTGTCAGTTACAGAGTGGCTGCACTTTATAACAGGAGGAAATAGTACTCAATTAATAAATAAGCATTCTGATTCAAGCCAGAATCAAACTGCGACTTTATTATGCGTTTGTAAATATATTAAGTAGTCCACATTTGTCTACACAAAAATAATAACATATCTATTTCTCCTGTTCGAAAAAATAGTTTATTGGTAAAATTATTGGCTTTGTTAAAAAAAAAAATGAATACTTCTGCCTATACACTATATCTGCGCGAAACATTTGTCTGAAGTGTCTAGATGTCTATATGATTATTCACGAAAAAGCTTTGAAGACCTGTGATTCACTTTAAATAAGGATGGGTAATGACTTATGAGCAGTTTTCAAGAAAAATCAAAAGAAGAACCCACAAAACCGTGTACATAGAGTAAATTTCAAGAATCAAACGCATGTTCTCTACCCCTAACATTGCGAAGGTCAAGTAACACCTCAAGACTAGCGAATATTTTTCAGAGCAAACAAATACTTGGTTTTTTAAGTCGTTAAAAACCGCTTCAACCAAATGTCTTGCAATAAATAGTATGAATCAAGGAAAAGTGCACAAACGTTAATGCATTAGGAAAAACTACGTTGACGTAACGTTTTCGTAAATGCCATGAAATGAGGTAAGAAAGGAAGTTTGGAATGAAAGCCCAGGTGTCCAAGGTGTGGAAAAAAACAAAGAAAGAAAAAAACGAACTTATCGAATACACTGTTTGGATGATCATCGAACATCATTGGAGGCGGGGTGTTACTCAAAATTAAAGTTCGATTTGCGCCGTCCTCCACCACGAAGATCCAAGATCCTGGGAGAGAGATTTCCGTTTCCTCTCAAAGATGATGATCCAAGATTACCGGTATCTAAACAACAAAACAAAACAAAAATTTAAACAAACAAAAAAGGGAATGCACTTACCTATCCTACACCCATCTCAGTTAGAGACGCTTAGGATATATGCCAGTGTTCCCTAGAAAGCTATCTAACACATGGTGCATTCTATGATGGTGTTGAGCACGGATGGAAGGTGTAGCTATTATGGGGAGAGGCACTATGTTAGAAGGGCACCCCCCCTCCCGACCCACAAAATCTGCTACGGAAATTAACGATGAAAAATTTAAGTAAAGTGTGCCTTTATATCCCCCCAAAGAAACCAGTAAGACCCTAGTGCAAGACCCCCTTGCCTAAATCCCCCTATAACCCCTCTCTCAGCCCTTTTTCATCCTTCTAGTTCGCTTTTATTTTTATATCGCTACATCTCACAAACCTATTGAGAGGCTGTTGGGAACGAACGACGTGGGTCTTCGTTTCTTAGCTTGCCCACGAGCCACTTGCCGAGCTCGTGACCCAAATCCAAGACACTGTAGAGTTTCTGTGATAAACCGCTGGGCCGGAGAACAGCAGAGCATGACAAGAAGCTTAGCATCACCACCTGACAGGAGCAAACGAGTATGCGTTAGTAAATGTACGTTAGAAAATACGAGTCCTTAAGGGACTGGACCGGGTAAATTGCGACCCTCCACCCCAGGTCCTCGTAAAACTACTAAAGCAGTTATAAAATTGTACCATACATTGCATTCATATCGGGCTCAAGTTTCTTGAACAAGAAATTCAAGCGAGGAGTCAATGTTCAAAGAAAAAAAAAGATTGCACTGAGTAAAAAGGAGTAAAAACTATACATCTTCATATAACGCAGCTATTTACTAATGAAGAATAAAATAAAGTTTTCAAAACAGGCCTCTCCGATGGAGAGAAGAAGCTTTATTGGAGGTGCCTGATTACGATAAAGTTCTTTATGAGATTTTCGACTGTGTTATTAAATTGAATGCTCTTTCTTGGAAAGCTGGTACAAGTACAGATGTTAAGTGGACGTTATAGTCTGTCACACAATTGTGAAATTGAGATAAACAGTGTCAGGTGGATAACTATTACTAATTCCAACATAGCAAAAGCGTACTCACCTATAGTATCCTGTAACATGTGCGTGAGTCTGGTGTTGCGGTAAGGTATATGTGAACGATGCTCAGACAGCGCCCCCAACACATCAGCCAAGGCACTCAAACTGTTATAACAAACAAGATGAAATATTAAAACGTGAGTTAACTTTAACATATTGGATTGTTCATTAATTTATTCTCAGTGTTCTCCCTGAAACGCTCTCCTCAGACTGGGTAGAAATAGTCCCGTCCTTTCGATAAATGTTTGGGAGAGCAAAAGGGTTTGATTTCAGGGTTTAGGACGAAAATAATAAAATGGACAGAACTGCGCAAAGGGCGAAGGAGAAAACTCCAAGATAAAAGAAACCGCAAGCTTGTATTTTATTTTCTACCGCTTTGCCATTTCAACAAACTGACATCGTTCAAAAGTGATATCTCACCCGTTTTCATACCCGTGAGATGGGAACGCTGACAACTAAGACATTTTGGATTACTACTTTCAAACCAAGAACAGGTGACTTGCAAAACATCATTTTAATTGAAAACGAAGCGTTTTGATTGGCAACTATGAATTGGCTATTTGGGTCAACAATACCCTAAAATGCAGGTGTTTCAGGGACCGAATGTTAGCGCTATCAACTAGCGATAAGTGTGAGTGCCGCTATGTTGATGTCGGTGACAATAACCCCAGTGGGGGAGGGTATCAACTCCCCAAAGGGCGATTTCGGTAGAGAGAAAGCAAACGATGCATTTTAACGAAACAGCCGGAGAAGTAGCACAACCGATGCCTTTGCTCACACAAATCTTTTCGCTCTATTAAATCGTAGTGACCCACTGTTTATTGGTTGTAAATGAGAAACTGTTTTGACTTGGAATTGATGCCCCAGTTACCTTTTGTTGATGTGCGAAGTTTCTCGTAGGGCTGCACCCGTTACCCCAGACATTCCTGATGCAAATGTAAATTGAAACATAACAGAGTTACAAACGGAAAGAACACAATAACGTCTTGTTGATGTGTTTGTCTTCTTATGATTGAGTAAATACAATGAAAATATTTCCAACCCTGCCTCTTCCCTCATCTTACCGACACATTCACTTCCAGCCAAGTCTACGAGCTGAAGCTTGGTTTTCACACTCTGAGTCTGGCTTCCGTTAGCTGAGGAATTATTGTTCCGGGTTGGAGAAGGGGATCTGGAACGAGCAGCGGCAGCGGTGCCAGGCGCTGGAGACCTGGGGAGTAAAATTCAATCTAGCCGTGAGCTATGTATTAAAGAAGGAAAGTCTCTGATGGCAGACGTGTATTTTTTTTCTTTGGCGAAAAAAAAAATTGTACTAAGCAATTTGTGTTTAACTATACGGTCGTAGTTGGTCCAGTTTCACACAAGATCCACAACAAAACACACTTAAAATTATTAAAAGCTATACACTCAATTGCAATTGCATTGTCTCAGAAAAATTCAAACCGCAGAAATGCTTTTCTCTTTCCAAAAAAGTTATCGCAATTACGTGTACGTTTGTATACGCATGAAATTACCTCGAACGCCTTGCAGAAGCAGCCTTACTTTTCGGTGCAGGAGACTGGGACCTACTGTTGTTCCCAGCTGATGGCTGGGGCAGAGTTCGCCGTGATCTTGTAGGAGTGCCTGGGGGCGAAGGCGCCGCATCACTAGATGAGGAGGACGTACTTGGTTTTGTCTGAGTGACTGTGTAAATAGTCAACTGCACTATTAGATGGGAACGGCTGGAATGAGCATGAACCATTGTGGCGTCCTCGTGTCTCCGTTGCATACCGTAGTAGACAACCGCCATCACTTCCTGTACAGTTCTAACGGGTCTGAGGAAAGAAATTCACATTTAAGAGTGAAACCAGTAACATATGGACCAAAACCCATTCGCAAATGTGTTCGAATCTTAAGGATGTTAACCCTTCCTTACTGACTACGCATGCTTAAGAAAGGAAAAATCAGTTGGCAATGATCCAAAAAACTTGGTCTTCCAATTTCGTTCCTAGAATAAATTTTGCGAAATGGCGCAGCCACGAGTCATCACTACTATGAAGTTTCGTCACTTCCGTCAAGTTTTTATGATCCCAGTCTACTTGCAAGTCCATGTAATTCTGCTGAATTACGAGAAAAACAAAGCACGACATTCGTCAGCAATAGTGCTCTGCATGTTGCAGGTGTGCAAGCACTGTAATTCTCTAATTGTAAACGCATGTGTACTAAGCCGTCTTTACCTGGTTACAAGAGATGGAATCTCCGTTGCTCCCTCACTACTCGTTACAATATCAAGCTGTAAAAAAAGGAATATAAAAAGATAATGGTGCGGAAGTCATGAATGTTCGAGGAGATATGTCATGCTACTTTGAGTTATTTTTCACGAAAAGCGAGAAATAACTGACAGTCTTGAAAAACACAGGCTTAATTTGTCAAAGATGCACGCACCACGACGTTCTCTCTTTCATGGGAGTTATGCAAGGGTGAAAAGAGTACAACTCATGAAAATGGACACGAAACGTAACTGGATTACTCTAGGATAACACATCTTCTGAAGTACATTAATAAAGTTATCATCATCTAATTTTGAAACCTACCCTGGAAGCACTCTTTCCTGCTAGGAGATCTCGAACTTCATTATTGTAAATCTCACACACAGACATCTCCAATGAGAAGCTCTCCTCAGGATTTTCTCGCTCAGAGATGAGTCTAAAAATTTCATAAATTAAAAGAAAAAAAAAAGGTAAAATTGTACATTTAGGAAGTTTCTTCCTTTAGTGGGAAACAACCGATACAAATTGACGGCTTCTGCCAACGAATATACCAAAGAATCATTTCGCTCGCCATTTGGAATGCCACTTCTTACTTAAACATTTCCTTCGCTGATCGTGGAATGATCCCTTCGTCCTTATTCAGTGACTCTGAATCAATCTCCATGTCCAGGTCGTGACTTCCCATCATGGTGTGAGTTTTACCAGATCCTGTCTGACCATACGCCATGATACACACATTGTACCTTTAGGTATCAAACAGACATTTCATTTGTTTTGTTTATAATGTGTACTTATTGACTGAGTGGGAGAGTCGGACGGGAAAATATTTTGAATGACTAAGTTTTGAAAATTTCGAAAATTTTGGTTTAACTTTAATAGGACGCGATAGATGACGTGCAGGGCAAAACCACAAAGAAGAATCGACACTATCCTTTATTTTTTCGAGTCAGAAGAAGAAACTCACCATTATTCGAAAAAACGTGACTTATTTTTTTCATTTCTGTTCACTACTGTCACTCATTAATTGTAACGACAGCGAAAAAATGTTTTTTATTTATTTATTTTCTTTTTTTGCAACAAAGCCGTACAAGTGCACTTGGGCCGGACGACTTCTAACGGACCGGTTCACGTCAACCCTACCAACGCCAGCTTTCCAATGGTTTTCTGTGGAATTGCGCGAGTGGGGATGGACGGGTCATATGACAACTGTTATTTAACAGCTAAAACATGTTCCCTGTTATGCAATGGCCAAGGAGATTCGCAAAATGCCAGAGCAACTAATAATGTATTAGGATAAACTATCAATGCTGACTTATCATGTCACACAAGGTTATGAACTCACCCGTCCAACAAAGAGGTCAGCAAAGGTTTCACATCATCAAATAGCGACTTCTGGTCAGTGTCAGGTCCATAAACTCTTTCAAACTCAAACTCCTTCTTCTGCATCTGGCCGCCAACAGGCTTAGCTGGGCGCACAATGAGTTTGTCTTCATCCTGAAGATCTACAACTCTTTCAGAAGGAGTTCCTGCCATACCCAGTGACTCCTCGTCACCTGGAGAGTCAAGGCGGCTGATTAAGGGACGCAGTCGACAGTGCACCCTGATGTTGCCTCGCATTTCCTACAAAGGAAAATTACGGGAAAAGAAAAAACATTTCACTCAATTGACATCAGCATATGATGAGGAAATAATCTGAGTAACCCACAAGGATTTGAACCCCAGTCAGCACCAGTTTTGATACAAGACTGAAACCAGAGCAACTTTGGTTGGGAAAAGTGTTTGACAAGACACTTCCACATCAATATGTACTGGACACAGTAGTTACACAATTACTAACCACAAGAGTGTTGTGTAGTGTCATTCTGCGAGACTTTTCTTGGATGTATCGTTGTCTAAACTCAACCATCTCCATTTCTGTCTTGAGAAGCTTATGTTGAAGGCCTGGATATGAAAGTTCAAACAAGATCTTTTTTTCAAACACAAAAAAATTGTGTGAAGGACATGTGAAGGGAGGGCTGAAGGGAAGGGAGAAAATCAAGTGCTCCGCAAAGACCTGCTGTGCATGTCTTGATACACAGAAAAAAACCTTAGAACTTTTAAGAGTCTGAGAAAACTAACATCTACACAAGCTACAAATAGTAGTTAAGAGTACACTGTACCTTCCATATTGGACATTTTCTTGGAGCCAAACTGATCAGTGAGTTTTGCAGTCTTGTCCATTTCTTGTGAGAGTAATTCTGGCAGACTCTTAACTTTCTTTTTCAGGTCATGAAGCTCCAACTTAACTTCCTAAAATGAATGAAAATAAACTTAAAAATAATCCTTGAAAAGTCCAGTTGGAAAGATAGGGTCATTTTGACTGTGACATTTCTTTACTACACATTGCCCTCTCCCCAGGAGTGTGAAATGGTACTAGCCAGCTGTTTGAGAAACATGACAAAACCCTAAAATGAGGGTTGGAGAGGGGAGGGGAGGAAAGCAGGCTACCTGCCCACAACTGACAAGCATCCAAACTCACATGAGCAACAATTTTAACCTTTTAGCCCTTTAACTCCCAGATCCATTTGTAATTCCCCTTACTGTCAACCATACAATTCTTATAATGTTAGTTCAGAGAAATTAGTATTAGATCAACTAATTATCCCCAAATTAATATATTTCTTTATTCTCATCACTTGTCTGCTTGATATTGTATGGATTTTTAAAGGAGAAATTCTCTCTTCCTCACTCATGAGAGTTACAGGGTTAACTTCCAAGATCTCATTATCAGTTCTCCTTACTATCTACAATACAGTTCTTAAAATATTAGTCTCAAGAATTTGGTGTTGTATTACCTAATTATTCCTTTAATTAATAACATTTTTTTATTCTTCTCAACTATCTCATTGTTATTGTGATGATACTGTAAGAGGAAATTCTGTGTCGGTCACTGATGGGAGTTGAAAGGGTTAGAATAGTTAAGTTTCTTCATGCTACAGAAGGTGGAATAAGCTCTAGCAAGATGGGCCATGACCATCAAGCTGCAGTGTTCAAGCTACAATAATGTATGACTAATCTACAACTGTAGTTTGCTAGTTTGAATGCATGTGTCCATTGACATTTAATGTTTATCTAGTACACAGTCATAATAATCTAATACCTGTAGTTTATCATTGGAGATTCTGAGTGTCTGCAAAGAATTCTTCCTAAAACTTTTCTCCTCATCAAACAAGCGCCTAAAATGAGTGGACTCATGTCGGCAAGAACGTACTGACCCTTGACACTGAAGAAAAACAAATGATTATACACAAAATAAGCACCCTAACTTTATTCAACTTTTTATGCTATAATTCAGTGTGACAAAAAGAAATACCTGGTATATAATGTGGGAGAGAAAAGGTGGCCATTCAAATGTGTTTTATTGATTACTATAGAAGAAAAATGAATGGCTGTCATATACTAGTACATACTAAAACAGTGGATAGCCTTGAAGGTGTGCTCTGATTGGCTACTCAAACTTAGAATATCCTATACTACACACCTCTGAGTAACTTGCACTCAAAACCACTGTAATTGTTGCAAGTAAAAATGAGTTAAATCATCTTCTTGGTGTCATATTATCTTACCCCTTTTCATAAGTATAAACTAAAGCAGCTCTTCACCTCAGTGGCAGTGGCTTGTCATGGATATTTACCCTGTCACTTAGCAGCTCAGTCTATATCCACCACTGGCCACTACCACTTCTGTGAATTGTTGTTAACCATGAGCAAGGACAAGTGAAATAATTGCTACTGAGCATTGTCAAAGTACATACGTGTACTCTTGTGAACTAAGATGAATGGTTAATAAGGTAAAAAGAGTTGATCTATACATAAAGTGCAAAATATGGAAGTAATGAAAGAATGAGTGTCTTCTTGACTTGACTAATAACTGAATACATGAGAGTGGGTCCGAGGGGCTTAATGGCTAGGTTTCAGATTTAGGCAACATAGCTTACATGGTGTGTTATCAGTTACTCCAATTCTATAATTTAAATCTCTTTATTGGCAGCCTCCAAAAGAACTCACACAAGACAGCATCTTTTCAAAATGCATATTCGATTAATCATCAACATTTGTGCCACATAAAGGCCAATATCAAATGTTCAGTCTTTTGCCCGAGAACACTTCTTAATTCACTTTTCAAAACCATCAATTGTCTTTTTCGTTTTTCGACAAAAGATATGCATTGTTGCTGTTGAGGTAATATCATGAATGATTTAAATAATTCATGCATCATTAGTTTAATAGCTTGTTAAATTAAACGTTTGATCTTTGATTGTATGCATGTACAAAAGTCTATGTGTTTTGCCTCTACCAATTAAACGATCAGTAATCTTACTGCATATAATTTACCTGTGCTAGTTTAAGATAAAGCATGGCATTTTCGGTCTCAAGGGCAACAATTCGCTCCTCTCGTGCCTGTAAACATGGTTTCAATTTAGCATAGTTATAACAAACGATAGAATAAAGCAAGTTGTGCAGATTGTGTGGGCTCGTGTATGAAGTAAAAGCGTTTTTTACCCTCAACAAATTTTCCAACTTCTGCACACGATCCTTCAGCTGTTGATCCGTTAGCTCAGGCATTTTATTTCCACGGAAGTTGTCCCCTTCAGCGTTGGTTAAAAGCGAATCACATTTTTGCCGCTAAGACACCCAAACGAGCGCGTCCAATGCACTGTGACAACCAGAAAATTTATCAAATTTCATTGTTTGCTTGTTGACGCTCCCGCGTTCTGTTCCACCAGCTGTTTATTTATGAGACCTTTTGTAATCGTGTAACTGTAATGAGGTGTTTCAAAAACAACAGTGGTGCTCGAACTTTGACATTTGATAGAAGTCCCCAAAATATAGAAAATGATTCGGAGCCGTTCGCGTTACTTTGTGAATCAGTACCAGCAATTTTCAGGGACGTTATCCAATGTTGAATATTTAAGAGATCTAGTGAAAAGGGTCTTACAACTGATCGAAGAGAAAAGTCCTCCGCAGAGAGCAAGCCGAGATGGCGGTCTTTATGTAGGAGCTGGTGGTATAGGATACGCTTTCTTCTCTGTAGCGGAGTGCACAGAGTTTTTGAACATTCGTGAACAATGCCTTGGAAAAGCCTTGGAGTACATGAAGGTCCGTTTGCAAACTCTCAGAACAATCAACTTGAGTTGTGCTCGAAAAGTTGTCGCAGGACGGTTTTAATTCTATATGCGCGCTAGATATTTTATACTAAGGTTCCGTTTGACAGGGTGCTAAACTGATAACTGAAGCGAGGATAGTGCAAAAGCAACGAGACCGTTGAAATAATTATCTCTGAAAAAAGAAAAAAGAAAACTAAAAAAAAGATAACCCTTTACACAGCTTAAGATAACGCACTTTAAAATTTGGATACTATAATCATCAATTTAACAAACCGTGTAAATATCGAACGTTAAAACCAATCTTTCTTTTCCTTTCTTTTCTTTTAAGGTTAGTCTAGAAGAGGTATCAACAACGTCTCCCTATGATGATGGTATTGGGGCATCATTTCTCCTAGGACATGCAGGGATTTATGCAGCATCAGCACTAGTTTTCAATGCTTTGGGTTTGTATTAGCTCTATGAAAATGAAATATTTACTACATTCATGATCATGTTAATTAATACACAATTTATAAAACGCAAGTAAGTGTTATGTGGAAGAGGTATGCATGTGGCCTTGATTAGAGGTTGCTAACAGTGTGCATTTTCACAATTATATTTTTGTATTCTTTTGTTATTGTTGTTGTTGTTGTTGTTGTTGCTGTCATTTTGCTTTTTGGTTGTTGTTAGGAATTTATTTTTTTCTTGATACAACATTTCCCTCCAAAATTTGGCATAAGTGCCTTAGCACTTGAGTCAAATTTTGGGTAAAAGGAGGGATGATATTTGGATTCGGAGGGTGCTTATACGGTAACATGTTGTTGCAGGGTGTCAGCAAGAAACAGAACAGTGTATCCAGAATTATCTGGAGATGGCTAAAATCTGCCAGCCACTGAATTTCTTTCGTCCTGGTTCTGATGAACTGTTTGTTGGTAGAGCTGGTTACTTATGTGGGTCACTTCTCTTGAACAAAAAGCTTGGCAGGACTGTGGTACCTCCAGAAGTCACCAGACCCTTGTTTGATGCCATCATAGAGTCTGGGCGACAGTATTCACAGAGTCACCAGTCACAAAGCCCACTCATGTACTCATACTACAGGACAGAGTACTTAGGTATTATGCTGAGGGTTTCAGTCCTTTGGAAAATTTAATAAAATTAAGCCTGGCATCATGCCTCTTACATTTTGGCAATAATTAATGTCCCAACAATGTAAGAGAGGGTAGGCTAGACATTGTAACAGGTATCAAACACGATAGATAAGTACCACAAAGTTGCTGACCCCTCTTTCTCTAGGACAGTTTATTATGATGTTATCAAGAACAAAAAATGTGGAAAATCCTCTATTTACTACTGTTTGATCAAATTGATTAATTTTTTATCTGCTAATTATTAATCTAACTTATTGTTTATTATTTTGTACATGATGGAAGACCTTTGTATGACTTCAAAGAGTTTAAATATTGTTTCATGACCTGTTGAGAGTTGTCAGAGGAATTATCCAAAGGTAATTTTTTTTTTTTCAAATTTCTATTCAGGGGCAGGTCATGGACTTTCATCCATTTTACAAATGCTGCTTAGTTTCCCAGAACATTTTAGCAAAAGAAAAGATGTTGAATCTCTCATTCATCAAGCTGTCGACTACGTGCTCACATGTGAATGTTCTAATGGAAACTACCCACCTGTTCCTAGAGAGGTCCGTCACCAAGAAGCTGAGCTGGTACATTGGTGCCATGGTGCTCCAGGGATTGTTTATCTTTTGGCCAAAGCTTATCTTACCTGGAAAGATGATAAATACTTGCAGGCCATGAGGAGGTGTGCTGATCTTACCTGGCAGAAGGGATTGTTGCGCAAAGGGCCAGGGATATGTCATGGTGTGGCAGGTAATGCATCATTGTTAAATATCTATCTTACAGTTCACATCTCTTCCTTTTTTCATTCAGAACAGGAGAACAGTCAATCCTATGTTATTTTCCAAGTGGAGTCTTGGGATCAATATCAGTATCTGGGCAACTGCCCACCTACCCCTCCCCTAACCCAACATTAACCCTAACTTGTCATCAATCACCAATTTTTCTAAGAGGAAAGCAAAGTGGTAAAAAAGTGATTTGGCCTCAAACGAAATTCGAACGCTTGCCTGAAGGACCCTGGTGTACAGAATACAGACCTATTGAACAGGAACTGTGACATTTTATTACTTATATTGACAAAAAGATATATATGAAAACTTTTTTGGAAACGGAAAAGTGGAAGAAACGAAAGCACGGAATACAGCCCGCAAGCTTATATATTATATGTCTCTTTCCTTTCTTTTTTAGGGAGTGGATACGTCTTCTTATTGCTCTATCGTCTGACCAAAGAAGACCAATACCTTTATCGTGCGCAGAAGTTCTCGGAATTTATGCAGACAGAAGAGTTTCAAAAGGGAGCAAGAACTCCGGACTCACCATTCAGCTTATATGAAGGATTGGCTGGAACTGTGTGTTTTTACGCCAATCTTTTAAATCCTTCCGAGGCGGTTTTTCCATTCTTTGAAGTCTTCTAGTGATCGACTATTTGAAATACATTGTCTTATATAAGGATTGAGGGGCCTTAGAGATTTCCAGTTAAATGACAAATGATAATAAGGAAAGAGAGATTTTCCGAGCTGCAGTATAGTTTGAGCACAGTAATTTGCAAATCTGACTCGTTTTTAGAAACCTACTCAAGCAGCAGTTTTACTTTGGTTTTGCTCTTGGATCTAAAGCGGCAAGGAAATGGTTTAAAAATATTGTAAAATTTAAAATTTAGAGAGTTATGATCGGGTTGCTTAAAATAGACCTTATCCATGAATTTCTTCAGATTCCAAATCATGTGCGCTTGAGATCAGCAAATGAATTTTTCGTGGCTCCCTCTTTCCACTTGCCAGTCATAGCCTGTTTACGTAGAACACAACGAAAACAGTTACACCCACCTCTAGGCAGAGAACCTGTCTCTCACTTCGCTGTGGATCATCTTATTAATAAGAAATCGACAAATAAGCAAATAGATAGATATAAAAAGATGAGTAAAAACGCGTGCTACGCTAGGTGGTCTGCCGTTACCGCTTTGCTTCAAAGTGAGATTCGGAAGTCGTGAACACAACAAAGTCCCCGTAAAGATACATCAAAATGAGAGGCGATATTGGCGATGTTGACCTGAACAATTAGCCCGCCCACTTGGCTCAGATTATTTGTGGGAGTTCTTAACTGCAAAGCACGCAAAAATACCATAACTGTGACACGTTTTCGGTAATTGGAAAACCGCCGAACGCGTGCAAACTTTTACGGTTCATCCGGCACCCTGCTTAAACTTGCGTCAGCGTTATAAACCACTTTCTACTAGAAACGAAGTAAATCTGCTACTTGCGTTTTAACCATTTGATCAATCATCACGGTCTGAAGATGTTTGCTTTTGTATTTCTAAGTGGTTGATATGGTGTAGAACGAGAAGAGGTTGTTTAACTTAAGCGAAGTATAGTGTAGTTCCAGCATTTTGCGTTTCCATTAATCACCTCAAATCTCTACACTACAGCGAATAGCCAGAAGCACTGTCATAGACTGCAGAGCACGCACCATGAATAGAAAAATCGTTTATCTATACACGGTACCGAGGCGAACACGTAGGGAACACAAATTGCTAAAAATAGTATTCTGGCCATTAAACCGTCTCAGACCTTGGCCATGAAATCAGCATGTTCCTGTTGTGCTGAGTAGGATTGCTGGCACGCGATGATTGCGTGACCAACCTGCTGTGCATCTGAGGACAGTCACGTAGAGTAAAGCCGAACTTAGAAGCTGCTGTTGTTCCAGCTCATAAAAGCCACGAGAAGGAGGATTTCATGTTATCTTTAACTCAATTTTTATCATAAAATAGAACGTATTTGCCATCTGAAACTGATGAGACGTCTTCCGTGTCAACGGAGAATCGTTAGGTTATTCCCTAGTTCACCCTCCCCCTCCCCCTCCCCCTCCCCCACAGGGGAATTTGCTCGTTTGTACTTGACTGTCCGTGATATTCTTTTCAAAAGCAAAATGAACTCTCTGAAGACCGTTGCCGCGAAGGTAAAGCATAGCCCTCAAGTTATAAGAAAAACGTTTTCTGGCGCAGGTTCGCCGAGTCCGTACGCGAAGGTAACAGAGGGGGAGAAAAGCAAAGGTATGAGATATGTTTGATGATCGAGTTAAGGTTTAGCCTGGAGAGAAATATTTAATTCAGGTTGCCTTAAAGCGAATGTTCGTTTCTTTGTTTTCAACGATCACACTGTATAAAACAAGCTCATTCTTTTTTTAAGGATAGGGAAAAAAAGATGCCTTAAGGTGAAAGGAAAGTATGATTCGAAAAGCGAAAGGAACATCACCAAAATTTAGCGATATAAACCGTAATTTGTTAATTTGATGTTTACGTTTGGAGAAACGTACTGATCGGTCGCATGTGTGAACTTAAACGTTCGTGCGGGAAGAAATTGACTAAGATAGCCTGTAGAAGATATTTTATAATTTGGGTGAAATTTTGAAATTTCTTCTCTTTCGAGAGAGACGCATAGCATTCTTTTTTTGGCTAATTCAAAGCGCCTCTGCTTCGCTTGTGCCTATAGCTGCGCCGCTGAATTGCTTATCGGCGGAAATATTTTGACAATGTAAGCAATGTAGCGGAAAGAAAAATTTGAATACGAGTCAGAACGATAAAAACCGGGCTATGAATAAATTGGGCTGAGTACTTATTCCAAGTCAGGTCGGGACAATTTGATTTGATTTTTTTCTCGGAATAAGTCTGTAATGACTTTAAAGTTTTTACTTTTAATGCTCTAATGGTTTGTTTATTATATTCGGTATCGTGACGTGTTATATATTTAAGTATGGAAAATTTGAAACCACTTCTACGGGTTGAAAAATTGTAATGGTCATCATAAAATCTCTTAAATTATATTTCTAATTGCACATTCGATTCGCAAGCATCACTTCGATGTGACTTGTTCGCTGAAACATGTACGTCATCGAACCTTCTTGCATTCGTTTGAATACTTAAATTAAAGATAACGTGTTTATTAGTTCATTTTCAGTGGTCATGCACAATTGTCACACCAGAGCGATTTCAATTACACATATTTTTCGCGCAATTTACTAGACAACTCCGGTGAAATAAAAGCGAAAAATAGAATGGATTATATTTTTACTACCAACGGAAAGTACGTCTTGAACCAATGTTCTTCTTGGATACGACGACAGTCTTGACATTTTTTTAATCTGTCCTTTTAATTTTTATGCTGTTTTTTTCCCACTTTGTTTTGTTGTGTTTTGTTTTGTTTAATCGTGTTTTGTTTTGTTTTGTTCTGTTTGTATTTTGGTTTATAACATGTACAAGAGGAATATTTGTTCTTTGGAAGGTTCCTTCTTGATATTATCCCAGAAAACAGGACAAAACGAAATTATGTCATGGGCATCAATGTCGCGTCCAAAAACCGAGTTTTACTGACACTCTGTCAAATTTCAAGAGTTCAGAATCTATAACACACCGATTAACCAAGGTTACAAGGCTGTTTCTGCAATGCCAAGATCGCAGTAATACGCATAAACCTTCGCATAAGCACTCAACACTTACATTGAATACAGCCATCCATATTGTCCACTGTTCACACGGGACGAAACATGAAGGTTTAATATTCTTCGAAAGAAAGCTTTCTTCCAACCTAGATCAATCATCAGATACGTTATAGCTAGGATGGAAAATGTAGCTTAAAATGGTTATTCACGAATTGATTTTAACGCATCATCGCTTGTTTTGGTATTTTTTCGATCTTTTCTCACCTACGTAAACGTTAGACGGTGTATTCTGGCGTATATATTGTTGTATTAGTAACGCTAAGAGCGTTCAACATCAGCTTCATTATTAGTTATAGTACATATCACGCTGGTGAAGGGTGCTTTTTGCGCGCATTGATTGGCCCGTTCGAAAGTGATTTTCAAATTGTGTCCACCTCAAGGCAGAGACAAAATGGCGCCCCAAAAGTTTTAAAATTTCCGACTATTGTATATATCGACAAAAAATAACTGAACGAGTTTGTTGGTTCTATTGTGATAAATTCTCAATGAACTACTCAGTTCCGGTAAAAGTGTTGGATATCTACCTCCCCTTCGGTGAATTATTGTTCACCATTGCCTGAGTGAATTATGTATTAGGGCTAAGAACTACAAGTGTCGGTTAGCGCAGATATGAAGAAATTCCAAATGTAAAGATACAGTGAAGCTAAAATTTGCCTAATTTTTGTGTGCACGAGTTTGTTTTGTTTTGTCTCCACTTGAGTTGCTCCTGACGTTTTTGTTTGTTTGTTGGTTTTTTTTCTTTTTCTTTTAATTTAATTTAATTTAACAAAGAAATGATTCTCACAAGTGGGCCGAAATTATGGCAATTGCAGAAAATGAAGCCTGAAAAAATTCAGCCCTCGACGGGATTCGAATTCGTGCCTCCCAGATGATATTTGGGCTCATATTTTTGTCTGCGTGATGTTTGTCTTTCCTTGCAAACTATATTTGATTTAAGGTCTTGATTTCCTTTTTTAAGCAGTTTCTGCTTCTCCCATGTGACACGAAATCTCAGGATGCTTTTCAATCCCAATAAAAACTTATCGCATTTACTGGTTACTTAACAGGTAAACATCAAGAAGACTGGCTTCATGCTGAAGATTCTTTGAAAGAAGGAATTTACTTCTATGTCAAGGTATTGATACAAACTTATAGTCAGTCACCCACTCTGCTGAGGACAATTTCTGTGACACATTTCAGCTAATTTCCCAATGTTACGTTTGCAGATACTTGGATCTTGTCCTGTGTTTCAAGCCCAAGGATCAGGCTGCACTGATGAAGCTGTGCAGAGTATTGTCGCAAACACGAAGAAGGTAGGCTTAAATCAAATTAAAACAAATAACCTTGTGTGCTAGCAGAATCAAGGCCAATCAAAACACGCCCACACGAGCCTGAGGTTTTCGATTGGTGCGATTTGTTGTCACACTTTGGTAAAATGATGTCACTGGATCCATGGCTGCAGAAATAATACAACAAAAATTGCTTTTAGTAATGTAATACCAGAAGATCATCGCTGAAAGTCAATTCCAGGCCCCGGTTGTTCGAAGAGTGAATATCGCCAACCACTAGATAAGTGTTTTGACAACACCTATTTGCTAGATAGCGATTTATCCGTTGGGTAGCGTTATCCGAACCTTGAACAACTGAGCCCAATTATAGCGGAGCTCGCAGAGCGTAGCCCCATAATTATACAACATAGTAGTAACCCATCAAGCCGAAAAAATTTTGATGTACAACCATACGACCGTACAAGGTGCTACTTTTAACATGCGTGGTCAACTGTACCGCGGGCACGCCAACGCCACGGCTTTGTCCAGTAGTCCAGTGGTCAGTGCACTGGGCTCCGAGTCGGACGACCCGGGTTCTAGTCCTGGCCGGTGCAAGGCGTTGCGCCCTTGAGACGTGCGGGGAAAAAAAATGCGAGCTCCGCTTTTAGGCTTGGCTAAATCTATATATTACCCCAAAGCAAGCACCTATAGTAAATAAATGAAGCTTGGTATGTCTAACCGCTAGATTTGTCATTGGTCATATTTGTACATTGTTCTATAGACGAAGAATACCCCAGCCAGTGGAAGCCTTCAGAAAGTTTTAATTACCGTTTCTACCCGTAAGCTATCCATACAAGATATGATTTCAAAGGTATGTATAGTTTCCATTTATTTTTTATATGAAAAGATAAATTATACGCGCAATTTGATTGGTTCTTTCTTATGATCTATTGGAGGACGGGCGCGTGGATGACAACACCATTGACAACATTTTGCTTCTATATCATATGAAAACACATAGCTTCTATGTTGCCGTGAATCTGTACAGTAATAGATCACAGAAAATGTCAAACTGTAGCAAGAATATCAATCAGTGGACATGCATTTTCGGCTGCGCCTTGTGTGCCACT